GCGTTTCTTCATTTGCATGTGTTGTGAGGATTTGCAGCGCGTTTCTTTATTTGCATGTGCTGTGAGGATTTGCGTTTCTTCATTTGCATGTGTTGTGAGGATTTGCAGCGCGCATGTTGTCAAACTGATGAAGATGTTTTCTTAATTTACTGGTGTTTTTTCAATTTGCATGTGTTTTCTTAAGTTGCAGCGCGTTGAGCTCTCTCGGCCACCGTAATTTTAATATTGTGCATATAATAATACTTCCATAAAGACTTTTTATTTTACTTGAAAAGAGACATGTCCATTGGATAACTATATAATCTACACAAGCCATTGTGCTTGGACCGCGATGATCGCCTCAAGTTAAACTGCATTGTGTCGTTGTCCACAATGCTTCGGTGACAGAACTTTGAAATAACAAAGCGCCCCCTATTGACCAGCCGCCACTGAATGTAAGGTGTCAGGAAATAGTTTAAGGAATACTTCACCCACAAATGAAAATGTGCTGAAAATGTATTCACCCTCAGGCCATATAAGATGTAGATTTGTTTGTTTCTTTATCAGAACAGATTTAAAGAAATTTAGCATTACATCACTTGCTCACCAATGGATCCTATGCAGTGAATGGGTGCCATCAGAATGTGAGTCCAAACAGCTGATAAAAACAACAATAATTCACACAATGCCAGTCTATCAGTTAATGTCTTGTGAAGGAGACAGACAGATAGCCAGTATCTTTTGGTTAAATCACAGCCGTGAACCATGATTTGCTATTTGCTAGTTAGTTGCAGGTGTTATTTAAAACTAAGGGGTGGGGCATTCTCATTCTAGAGATCTTCTGATTGGACAAAAATCTGTGTAGTGCAGGATGAAAAATCATTTTTAGTCCATCTTTGAGCTCTATAGCTTTTTAAATGCAAGAGCACATATGCGACAATCTGAGAATGTGATGTTGTTTGAGTAATTCAGCTGTCTGTGAACAGGAAAAGGAGGTTTGTTTAATGCCTTTTTTATCTCGGCTAACTGTGAAAAGATCAAACTTTTTCTGCAGTGGAATAGATATATGTGTATCATATCTATCAGCATGCTTTTCAGCTTTTTCAAGGTCCTTTCATTTATCGTACTGCTACTTCAATCTCACTCCTCTGACCTGCAAGTGAAAAGCGTTTTTTTTTTTTTTTTTATAGCTGAAGTGTCTGTCTGCTCTTTTAATTGTTAGTGTGTCAGACATTCATTACTTGCCCTGAATTTATTTCAATTAACCTTTCTATCATAATCACCAGTTATTTTTGAAGTTCTAATGCACTCCTTCCCCTCAAGGGGTAAAGTTAAAAGGACCAAACTGCAGGGGCTCGGCAAAACAGGCATTTCTCGGGGCATGCTGGGGGCTGCCTGGGACTGGGCAGCCTTTCTCACTATTGCATCATGTCAGGCCAGAATGATTGATTGAACACTTGAAGCTGTAGAAATGTCAAAAAAAATGAAAAGGTTTAAAAGCTGGTAATATCCATTTCACTCTCTCCTCCTCCTCTTATTCTTTTTGTGTTTATTTTGAGATCATCTCAGTGCTTTGCTCTTCTGAGATTTCACTCTGTTTTTCTATTCTGGTGTCTCGGTTGCGTTTTACTGACACTCAGTCTTTTCTTTCACTCTCCATCTCAGGTGCGCTAATCGTGGAATATTTTTATCAAAGAGAACTCAAATCGCATTCGACCTTGGTTGAATGAGGAATTTTTTTGGGGGGGGGGAAACACAAACTCATTGCTCAAGGGCATGAAATCATAGATTGGTCCAATGTTCAAACATTTCGGTTATCAACCCAGATATTCATATCAATCTGTCCATCAGTTCATATATAACATTATATAGTAGTTAATTACAGTCATTAAATTTCCTTGAATCCAACAGCACTGTTTGTATCACTCCACTTCTCTGTGTATCTTCTACACAGGCTGTCAGTCTGTGCATTAATGGTGGGTATTTTTCTCTTTTAGAGGTACACCAGTAGGTTGTGACAGGTCTTTGAGCGAGTTATTGAATCATTCATTAAATTTATTTGTTCAAAATGCTAATTTCTTCAGCAACAAAACAAAGACTCACTGAATTATTTATTCAACTGATTCATTCAAAAATGCTGATTCATTCAGGTACTAAATACTGTGTGTTTCTCAGTGACACAATAGTTGTTTTTGCTTTGGCTTCGTTTGTCTATTTTTCCTTGACCAACTAAAATAGCCCTGTAATAAGAGGCAATATTGTGTCAAAAATCTAAAACCATGTCTGCACAGGATACAAGTGAAGCATGCGGAGTACAGGAGAAATATAATGGGTCATCTGTTTAGTTTCAACGAATTGTCACATCGTGCCACATAAGAGTTCTGCTGGTTCTGTTGGCTTTTGACGCATCCAAGTTCGGAGGTGTTTGACAGAATGTCCAACATGTGCTAGACACAGACATGTTTGATTGTTGCCTTCATGTTTTATGTCTTTTGCAGCATCTTGTGCATTTCACAGCATTCTAAAAATGCAACACTCATGTTAAAAGAAGTTTCATATTTAAAAAAGTAAAATGCATCTATAGACTTTGCGTTGTTTTCTTTCCACTACCATGCCTCTCAGAGTTTTATTTTTGTATATCACCCTAAATTCTATTCATTTAAAAAAAAATCCATTCATGTCTGTCTTTTTCCTTTTTGCTGTATTCTATATATCCGGTATATTCATATATTGTAGACCTAGTTTTCCTTTTTTCCTCCCATTTCACCCCCTCTCTCTGAATCTCTTGCCAGTGTTGGCTTAGAGCTTTCTCATCCTGCATAATATTGCTTCTCAGCCGATAAAACAGCGAGTACAAATCCCGCTCCAGAATCGATGGGCACAGTTATTCCTGTGACCCCTGCCAACCAGCTGGCCACCAGCCACACAGTCACACATGTGAGCTGACAGACCACTGCAGCCCTGCACTGTACCCGCCTCCCCGGGGGCCAGACAGACCATGCCTGCTGGACCAGACGCAGTGTGTCTCTGTATGTTCAGGTCCATATGTGTGTGCGGTGTGGTCAGACTCTTCCAAAATACCTGCGTGAGGTTTGGAACAGCTTCATTTTCCACCAGGCCAACTAGTGAGTTTAAACTACCTGCTTCTCATGAAGTCAAACTTTAGCAGGTTTTCAAGAGATTCACTGGAATATTTGAATTGAAAATTTGATTTTTGTCTTTCTCTGTGAATTGTTTTGCTTGTCATAAATCTGGGGATGCACAAATATTAAAACTATGTCTGACAGAAATGTAATAAACTAAATCTAGATAATTATAGAATTAATTTTGTTATGACCACTATTGTTTATTATTTATTTATTTATTATTTATATTTTTTCTGGGGGTTTTTTCCCTTAGATAAATTTTAAAGTCAATTGATTTTTTTATATTTCCATTTTTTTTAAAGACTTTTTTTTAAACATTCTTGCTTTGATTGTGCAGAGATTATGATCAAATCTTCAAACCTAAATTTCATTTTTTTTTTAAGTATAACCAGTTATTACCAATGTAGTTGGCAGTCTGTATTTTGGCCCTCGGAGCTCACAGTAGCTGTATTCACTTCACAGATCACGCAATTCTTATTCTCTGCTGTGAGCTTATCTAACAACCCCAAAATATAGCGCTGCTAAAACATCACAATTAGGCTGTTAGAGATATATAGGTCAGTTTCATGCTTAATTCTTATTCTTGCGTAATACATTACAATATGTAGTTTATGTAAACATTTTATTTTATTGTAGTTTTTTCCTGAAAACTACTGTATAAATATTAATATACAGTGTATTTAAATGTTAATTATAATTACTTTTTTTGACCTTATATTTAAATTCTGCAAATAACACAATCAGAAAGTTGTACTATAGTTGTGCTATAATGCTAGTAATCTTTGACTTGAATTTTAGTCCCATGTTTTCCACATCTCATTTTTCTAAAAATTTTTAATGCTTAAAATCTCTCCTTTTTTCAGTGCAACAATGATTATGTTCCTGTGTGTGGCTCCAACAACGAAAACTATGAAAACGAGTGTTTTCTGCGGAGAGACGCCTGCAAACAGCAGACCGAGATCCTGGTGGTCTCTGAAGGATCCTGCCCAGCCGGTACGTGCAGTCGTGTTTGGTGCATATGTCTCTTGAAGGTTAATCCACAGCCTAATCATTTGCCCATAAAATGTGTAACTGTGAGTATTGAGCAAGACTGCAATTTACTCATCCCTGAGGTCTGAATCAGACAAGGACTCTCATATCTGTGCTTGTGTTAAACATGTTATACTGTGCTATAGTCAGACAATACCCATAATACCTCTAACAGGCTAGAACCATGTATTATTGCTTTGTGTAAAGCTTTTGCTGTGTTTTAAACCCTGCATTCAGAGCTTTTTATGCCACAAAGGCTGTTCCACAAGACTGGATTGTTGTTGTATATGATTGCAGAAAAATATTCCCCTTTTTCCTCTTATATTAAAGGAATACGCATTGCATGTTTATGGCCAATCAAAGACCAAATGATACGAGCAAAAGTGTGTTCTGTGGTCAGTAAAATGGTGTATTGCGGAGGCTAAAGCAGATGTTTGGTGCTCTGGGAGTTGCTGAGTCAGACTCCATTAAACAGTGCCTAAACACACTGAAACCTCTAAAAATTATCTCTAGGGAGAGAGAGAGTGTGGGAGGCGAGTATTTGTGCTTATGGAGCATCCAGAGAATGAAATGTTCTCCTCATGCCGTGTGTGTCTGTAGGTAGAGTCATAATTCAGTCCTAGCGGGATGTTGGTTCTCAAGCCTGAATGTGTATGAGCATGTACTTGTCTGTAGGTGTTCTGGAAGGTAAAAGTAAATTTACTGAAACAAGCTTCAGAAAACAAGAAGAGTGTTTGTCTTTATCTCTGTGAAGCTTAAAAGGCACCACTGAATCATCTCTCATCATCTCTCTGGTTGGCTCTGTCTGTCTGAAGGCTTTCCTGTCATCTTTTGCTTTTATTTCACTCTTTACGTTCATGCATTGAGTGTACATCAGACCAGACAAGTTTAAGTACCTCATGGATATAACACTGAATACAAAAGCTAAAATTACAGTTGTAATCAAGGATGTCTTGTTTACATGCTAAGTGCTGCAAAAATAAATAAATAAATACGTTTTTGAATATCTTTCAATAGTTTGATCTCATGAACCTCACAAATCCAGCAACTATAGTTCTCCCTAAGTGCCTGTAACAGCCTGGCACTTTGAAACATCTGTATTTGTAATTGCAGATTAAATGAAGAAAGGAAGAATCTATCTATCTATCTATCTATCTATCTCTCTTATGTTCAGCAAGGCTGCATTTATTTCAATAAAAAGTAATGTTGTATACTTTATAAAAAATTTAAATTACTTTTCTATTTGAACATGTTTAAAAAATGGTTGTTGTTTTTTTGATGGCAAAGCTGAAATTTCAGCAGTTGTTACTCGGTCTTTACTGTCACATGATGCTCCACAAATCAATCTAATATGCTGAGAAACATTTCTTATTATCCATGTTGAATACAGTTGTGCTGCTTAAAGATGACATATCATGAAAATCTGACTTTTCCAGGTTTTAAGTGCTATAATCAGGTCCCCGGTGCATCTACCAACCAAGGAAACGTGAAAAAGATTAAACCAGTAACTTTGTTTTGGTAAGCCTTTTTCTGCAAGCTTCTGAGAAAACGAGCGCGTCTGATTTCGCTCCCTTGGTGACGTGGCAAAGGGATCTCATCATAATATTACCACCCCTTAACCTGTAAGTTTACACCCACGGCGCCATCATTTTGATTTCGCAAGCGACAACGGTGTACCAGTTCTAATGCCATGGCGAAAGTTTGAGCAAAACTTGCTAACTGTTCTGTCTTTGGCTGCACAGACGAGCACAGAACACTATTTAGAGTCCCAGCCTCAGAGGAGACGCATTAGCTCCACAGGAAACACTCAACATCTAACCACTCACAAGCTGTAGTAAGATACTGTGCAGATCTTAAACAATGTCAAGATATGATACAGTCCATTATTCTGTAAATGAAGTAGATTTAATATGGTGTTCATTGTGTGTTATAAATAATCAAACTTAAAACCACAAATACGTAAGTCATTATTATGATGTATTATAACTGTTGTTATGATTATTCATGAGTTGATATAACATATTATACGTTTTTTTATAATGCATTATGCATTCATTATAATGCCTTAAGAATACCCTTATAATGTATTATAAATACGGGCTTCATGGAAAGCGTTACCGATGTTTTTAGCAGATACGAGCTGTAATGGCGCAGCCATTACAAAAGGGGGCAGGGAGCAGCAGCTCATTTGCATTTAAAGAGACAGGCCCGAAATACAGCGTATTTCTGCTTCCACTCAAAATAGGCATTAATAAAATGGCATAATAAATGATCTGTGGAGTATTTTGAGCTGAAACTTCACAGTTACATTCTGGGGACACCAGAGACTTATATTACATATTGTAAAAAGGGGCATAATATGTCTCCTTTAATATTTTTTGTGGAAACAGCGATATTTTTCCCCCGGATTCTTTGATGAATAGAAAGTTCAAATGAAAAGCATTTCTAATATTTTCTAATACTATAAATGTCTTTACTGTCACTTTTGATCAACTTAATGTGTTCTTGCTCAATTTTTACTGCCCCCAAACTTTTGTATTGTAAAAGTGGAAAACTATAAAAAATGTCAATAGAGTTTTTCACCATGTCATAGTAGAGAAGGTAGAAATTGTAGTAGAACCTATAATTCAAACCTGAAGCCCAAAAGACATTCTCAACAGATCTATTAAATTCCTTACCAATTTGATTTTGACTACGCTCAATTCAGATTTAATAGTACATTTTACACACATCATTATGTCAAGCATTAAATTATGTGGTTAAACAAAAAATGTAATTTACCTGAAACCCTGCTGAATGCTTAAAGCTCTGTCTAAAAAGAGCTTTAGGTTAAACTAAAAAGAATATAACCACAGCCCAATGAGATTTTCACACTTTGAGCTCTGAGGACATTGAGGAAAGAGACAGAGAAATGGACTGCCTCACAGTTCTGATGCTTGTACCAGCTCATCTAACTCTATGACACTGATTTCCTCTCCACTAATTCCCTGGCAAATGATCCAACAGCTGACAGATGACCTACAGAGATAAGTGAAGTGTATCACACTCTGCTATTTTCTTTATTTCTCCAAGGCTGGTTGCAGCTCGGCTCCTCTGTCTTTATTCATACATCAGTATCATAACTGAAAGTGAGCATCTTCATGCAACAGGAAATAGAACATTGATTGTAATAAGCGGAGAAGTATTAAAGGCGTCATATCACATCATATAAAATTTTTATAGTTTGTCATATTTTAGGTTTTCATAGATATTTCCCACCCTTTGTCTGGCTCTTTTTCATAGATATTTCCCAACCTTTGTCTGGCTTTTAGAATTAAATGCTGCTATGCCTGTAAGAAACGCCCCTTAGCATGTAAACATCTGTGACAACGTTTACACTATAAAAATTGATGTGTACAAGTCAGCCTGCAATTGCTTAATAATTACAGTACTATGCGGAGGTGTATGCAACAAGCATTCAACAGTTTGGGGCCAGTAAGATTTTTTTATGTTTTTGAAAAAAGTCTCTTACCAAGGCTGCATTTATATGATCAAAAATACAGTAAAAAAATTTAATATTTTGAAATAAAATTTAAATTTACAGTAACTAACTGTATTATATTTTAATATATTTTAACACATAATTTATTGCTCAAATGGCAAAGCTGAATTTTCAGCAATATTTCTAAAAATATTTTTGTAAGATTGTAAATGTCTTTACTGTCACTTTCGATCAACAGATTGGATTGGAGCGAGAATTTATCGAAAATCTGTTGGACAGATTTATTTATTTATTTTATTGTATTGTATTGTGTTTATTTGCACAAGGCTTCAGATTTGGGCCTGTGTTTGGTGCTCTCCAAGGTGCTGAATCCCATTCTGCATGTTGAAAGTGCCATTGCGCTTGTCAAATACAATTCTTCACTTCTAGTCTAGAGTCAGCAGTAATGGTACTGTTTAAAGTCCATGAGTTACTGGCAAAGTTACTAAATTTAGCTATAATCCCATTTACCAACGGTCACTTCCAATACTGGTTGGTGAAATCATGTTATTCCCTTGTCCCACAAAGTAATTTCACCATCCTTTACTGTGTCAAACCTCTCCTCCATCACACTTGGGTACTGATATTTGACTGTAGCTTACTTTCCCAAAATGAAGTCCTTGCTGTGCTTCGTTGAAACTTTCAGAAGAGTCTTATGTGCCAAATATTAAGAAGTATTGCAGAGGTGAGTATATGCTTCTCTCTTTTTTTCTGGCATTGATAAGTGGGCTATTTACCTCGCAAACGGTGGCAAGTTCACCGCTGTGCTGCTGTAAGATCAGTGTGAATAATGTGCTGATTAAGGAGACGGGTCATGTGCTTATATTGATTTTTCAGTGCGGCGCAGGGCAGCAGGCCATTAGCTTAGTGGTGCGTAACTGTAGAGAGGAGAAGGCAGTTCATTTTCAACACTGGAAATTGAGGTTAAGATAGCCTTTCTGCGTAATCGCACTCCATGTAGTGCTAAAGTAGCTTTCTCCATGCAGGGAGCATGCATCATATTCCAAGAAATGAATATTACATTCTCAAAACATTCACATAAACAGCTCAACAGGCCTGTTTTATCATTAAGTACTGATATGTTATCTGACGCATACATGTCGGTCAAGCACGATGTTCTTGAAATAGTTAATTGTGTGTTGTAACAGCAGTTAGGGTGGCATGTTAAATTACAGCTGAGTTTGTCTCTGCTGACAGAGAACATCTGCCTCTGAGCCTCGAGCTCAAGTTCACTCAACCCATTGCATCGTGGGAGCCCAGATAAAAAAAGTGCAAAGTCACCTCATAACACATTCTTCCTGATAAATTATAAAGGCAGAGGAGATGCGTAACCCACTGATACCTCTGAATGAGGAACAAAGGTCTCTTACACTTAATAAGACTCCTGCCATTGTTTCGTGCCAGCAAACTCAGCAGAGTCCGGTCTCACAGGAAGTGTGCCGAGAAACAGACTGTTCATCTCGCTTTACTCTTCCAGCCTCACGGTGAAATAGTCTTTTTGATGTATTAGGGAACTTCATGAATTTTTGAGGTTGTGAAAGGTTTTCCACTTTTTTTATCCGGTGCTTCAGGACTGGTTCATTGGTTCATTGTGTAGTTTTTGCCTTTTAAGGTCCTCAGTTTTTATAAGGAATGATGAATACAAGGATGGAAAGTTAGTGAATACAAGGATGGATAGTTGTTGAATGTAGACTAGTTATCTGTTTAATCTTATAAAGTTGTATATATCATATTTAAAGCATCGTGTTCCAATGACTCTACATGATTAACATGATCGATACCTGAAAAACCTTTTGTACCTTATTTTTTACATAAGAGCCATTTATAAATGTGCAAGGCTTCCGGTGTCAGCCAATAACAAACTTGTATTTGTATTCATGTTTTTCTAATTTATTATTGTAAGTTTAAAAACACTTGATTGTAGCTCAGATAGTTTACTATTTACTGCACATTGTTATTCTTCACGTTATTTACCTATAGCGGCTAATTAATCTGGAGTTTCCACATCCACAGGAAATAGCTTACTTTTGCATTGAAAAATAAATTAATACAATCAACTACATGTCGTCTGCCCATTTGTGGATTATCCATGCTCTTCAGGAAGCAGAAGGACTTTTAATATCATTTCCAAAATGTCTCCCTCTGTGGCACAATGCACATATATACCTGTTGACTGAGAAATTATTGAATATTGTTAAAGCAATGACAAGATTAACTTTAAATATTCATTTTGAAATGCCAATAATAATATGCCAATTAAAGCAATGTAATTTATTTAAAAAATTTCATGATGCCGATCACAAATAAAAATCATTAAATCATTCAATTTAAATGAATTTTACTAAGATATATTTAGGGTGGGAATTGGTATATGTATTTTTTTATTTGCAGCTTGTTCTGTCATTGAATTGTTAAAGTGAAAATCAATTCACTTTTAATAATGTTCTTTCTACCATATTATTGCTCATAATAATGAATGTACACATTTTGTTTTCTGACCGTTATTTACAGTATATGACAGACTTTACAGAGTAAATATTAGTCATGTTTTATAATTGTATGCATATATGCAGGTGATGTTGTTGTGAAAGCATATCAGATAAACAGGTGAAAGTATTTTGACAGATTTAGACATACAGTGGGTACGGAAAGTATTCAGACCCCCTTCAATTTTTCACTCTTTGTTATATTGAAGCCATTTGCTATGCATTAAAGCCATAGCTGAGTGTTTCATGTCCAGATGGCCTGAGAGCATCGCTCAGATGGTCAAAGACAGATTGAGTGTGACATGTCTCTGAATCAAGAATGTAACTGTCAGGCAATTAGAAAAATAAACGAGTCTGAACTTCTGTCTGTGTGTGTGTGTGTGTGTGTGTGGTTTCATAAGTAAAAAACAATAAACCCTTATTTACCACTGGGCACATGGTGTTTATAGCTTGTTGAGATGAAAATTGATGTACAGATGTATTTAGGAATCTTAAAGGCGACATCGGATGCAAAATTCACTTTTACATGGTGTTTGCATATAAATGTGTCTTAGCAGTGTGTGGACACAACCACGAGTCTGAACTTCTGTCTGTGTGTGTGTGTGTGTGTGTGTGGTTTCATAAGTAAAAAACAATAAACCCTTATTTACCACTGGGCACATGGTGTTTATAGCTTGTTGAGATGAAAATTGATGTACAGATGTATTTAGGAATCTTAAAGGCGACATCGGATGCAAAATTCACTTTTACATGGTGTTTGCATATAAATGTGTCTTAGCAGTGTGTGGACACAACCACCCCACAATGATAAAAATCCATTCATCCCATTCAAGCCATTTTGATTTTCTGAGCAGTATAATGTCATACTGTTCAGGCCCCACCCACAACTGCTAACAGACTGTCCCGTATTAACATATTCCTGCCCTCAGTCAGTTCTGTCAGTGCTGTCATCCATTTTTATCTCGAGCAGCTGTAGCGACGTGTCTCAAAAGGTAATGCAGATTTGTAGCTGGATGTAAAAATAAACATAAGAGTCCTCATTTTCTCCCAACATCAGAGCCACTGAGGATGCAGTGGATTAGTTTTGTTTTTGATGGTAACGTGCCACCGCATACACAAAAAAAAATGGAAGAGAGGAGCGGGGTGAGCAGTAGCTCATTATCATTTCAAGAGACATGCACTGAAACGGATCGCTGTAAACAGAGCTGATTTTGACAAGGTCAAAAGGGTATTGTTTTACATGACTATTTAGGAATTTTAATCAAAGTATGTTGCAGACATTTCATGAAGACCCTAAAGAATCATACCAACTTGTGGAAAATGGGCATCCAATGTCCCCTTTAAAATATGTTGTTGTTGTTGTTGTTGTTGTTGTTTTTTAATCTGAAGGAAGAATAGATCATTTTATTTTCTTTAAGGATGCTAAAAAGTTCTTGCTTTGTATGCTTGATCTAACACACAGACTTACACATGTAAATAGTAGTGTATGTTTGTTTGAAAATACATATGCATGGTTTTATCTTGCTATCCTTTCCTCATTTTCACTTGAGTGTCTTTTTATACCTCATATCCAGTCAGAGGGCATTCGTTACATTATGATACTTGACTATACTTGATTTTAGAGTCATGTTTAAACAAATATTGTGACAGCAACACCATGAAGCACTGGACTCTTCTGTTCTTATGCACAAAGGGTGTACAGAAGGTTATAGTTTCTATGTTTTATTTGAAACACTTATTCTAAATCAGACTGCGATGAATCAGAGTAAGTGTGCATTTATAGTATCTCCCTCTTGCATCATTTGTGCAGCCCACTTCTGCCTACATGAGCCAAATGGGTCACATATTCACCGTTGATCATCCCACAGTTCAAGTACATAAGACCATATCTGTACTGTAAATTGGGATAGTATGCCCAAATGCCAGAGACCCATATGAGCAGAAATGTACATGGTTTATCCATTCATCCATCTATTTTCCAAATCGCTTGTCCTATAGTGTTATAGGGCTGCTGGAGCCCATCCCATCATCTCAAGACGTAAGCAGGAAAACACGTTGGATGGATGGCCAGTCCATCACTTGTACATTCTTAAAAATTACTTTCATTCAGTTATTTTTTTTTTAATTGATCTGGGAAGTTGACAAATAAATGACATAGACATGAACTTTAAAAAAAGAAAAGAAAAAAGTAAAAAATAATTGATATATTCAATTATAAAAATATAAATTATATTAAATTATAGAAAATATCAGGATATTAGTCTCACATGATACAATTACTGTATTTCAACATTTAGGCGTTCATTTAAATATTGCTGAAGTGTGACAGATAATTTTACAATTACAAAGGTTACATGTAAACTTCCAATTAATATAAAGCCTTAAAACCTGCAATAATGATAAGGTATTGTTTGACCCTTATTGAATTCTCTAAAATTATAGAAATTAAGACTTGGAAGAAGACATGGATGTAATGTCCTTCTTATTGTGTTTTACAGATGCTGGTTCAGGATCAGGAGATGAAGGTAAGGCAGACCTTTTTTGACACCTGAATTTGTGTGCATGCTTCTCATTAAATCACTCTGCACTTGTTTACACTTCCCCACAGATGATGCTCATAAACACACACTCACTTCCGAGCCTGTCAGCAGTCATCTGCTCTCCTCCACAATCCGCCCACTGAAACTGAGATTCAATTACACCCACTTACATATTGTTCAGAGAAACAGAATTATTACACTCTTCCCCCCCAAAGTGCAATGTCTGACTGACAGTAGAACAGTCTGCGGCTCGAGCTGTATATTTGCATCGCTTAAAATGTGTCACTCTTCTTTGATTTTAATGTTTCGATCTTCCAGTCAACTCTTTTATTCTTCTCTCTTAACCAAACAGGCCACATCCGCTAATTGAGTACTGTAACATCTCCCTGCATACTGCTGCTCATTGTGGTCTTGTTTTGCCAGCCATTTCCTGTTTACTAGATGTGGTCTGTGCTTTTTGAAAATAGCAGTAGCTTGGTTGGCATGTGTGTCATTTGGATGGGGCTATTTTTCCCTGAGGAGGTTTGGGAAATTTATATTTCACGGCACTTTGTGATTTTAATCCTCTGGAGTTTTCGGAGAAATTGGGAGAAATTCTGAGAAATTTTCAGAATCCCATCCGGATAGGAATGTCTGCAATTGGGGTATATTATTTTTTTCACAATACCTCTCTTTATTTATTTTTTATTTTTTTTAACTTCCAGTAAATACAGTAACTACATTTACATTTCTTGTCATGCTGCCTTATGGTTTGATTCAAAGATACAGTGAAACTGTAATATTGTGAAATATTATTTAAAAACTTACTGACACCAAACTTTTGTGTTTTTAAGTGTAAGTCAGATTAACACATATTTCATGTGTTAATAATTGTACCTTGAAATCACAAACATTGTTTAGAACAAGGATTTTTAAACTCAAAAATAGTAGTAGTATGTATGTATATTTGAGGCTGTACGTTAACTGTAAAACTGTGAAAACTACTATACAAACATTTGAATCATAAATGTTTCTCTTCATGTTTGTATACAACACTCTAATAGTGGGTAGAAAATAGATATGTTACAATATTTTCCAGATAATACTCTTAATAGCATACTTTTTGGCTTCTGTTTAGTAACAATATAAAAGCAAGTTATTTTGCAAACAACATGTTGTCTTTATAATGTTGCACTTAACATTTTCTTACAAAATGTAAACTGGTGTTAATACAGTAGCTACGTTTATATTTGGGGTTCATAGCTTCAAAAGTTTGAAAAGCCCTGGTTTAGAAAACTGCTCCTGTCCTATGCAGGACTTAATTGATTATGAATTCTCATTTACTAAGTATGCCAATTAAGAAAAATTGCTTTGTGTTAGTAGGTGACAGCATATGGCTCTCTGCAGACCAGAACAATAGAGATAGTAGGAGTGGAGAAGACCAAATGATGAGGGGAGAGGAGAAAATATGAATAGAGAGACAAAAGAAGAATGATAAGAGACCGAAGAATGTGCAATTCGATAAAATGAGTGGAGAAAGGAAAGGAGAGGGAAAGAGAAATGGAAGGCCGATAAAGAGAAAGATAAGTAAAGAGGAGGAAGAGAAAGATGAGGGCGATAAAGGCTGGGTAAGGGAGGGGAGAAATGATTGCAGTTTATGGATGGAACAGAAAGAGAGTGAGAAAGAATGGCGTTTAGGTAAGCACAGCACTATCGGTGCGATAAAAATCAAATGTATTCCAATGGCTGCAGATAAATCATATGGGTTGCCTACTGGGCATGCAGGCTGCTGGACACTTACGGCGAAGCACAGAGAGAAGCCGCTCTGGCTGTTCAAGCTCCCTGAGCTCCATGTAACATCATCTGTATGAGAGGCTGCATGCAGAAGAACACGGTTTACGCTTTAGACTTATACAATATAGAGAAACCAGTGATTATTATGGTTGATGCTAAGAGATTAGGCTTTTTCCGATTATCAAAAATTTCATAAGAGTTGACATTACTTCTAATTCTAATTCTAATGAAGTTTAGTCACAAAGTTATTTTATGTACAATGATTCCCATCAGCAGTGCATAACATTGGATTTTAATGACTCCAATTAGTACAATATGGATGTACCTTCAAAACCAAATCAAGCACTAAGAAAATATGCATTATAGTATATTCGAAATATTTGCATGCAAAAAAAATGTGTGTATCATTAATACACAGATCATTTTGAATGGTCATTTAATAGAACTTAAACAGGTTAGACACCATATTGAATTTAACATGGATAAAAAAGTGGCTGTGACAATGGCATGGCATGCACTGTATAAAGGTTGTAGATCATGTATTTTTCATAACTCACAACTCTCAAAGCTGTTTATTGGAGTTTTTTAATGAAAGGTTTTTTTTCCCCTGTAATACCTTTTGTCGGCTGAACAGTCAGTATGTTGTAGTACAATCCATTGAACTTACTGTACCTCTATGCCTCACAGCCATGTTTTTATTCCTGAGAAAAATGAAATATGCCGCTACCATGACCTATGGAAAAAGATGTTGTTTGGAGTCAGATGATGCCGTTACGGTAGCAGGGACTAATGTGGCCATGCTAACCAGCCAAACATTGACCCCTTGTTTAAAACATTAAATGGTGTTTTTGTTGTTGTTGTTGTTTAATTTAATTTAATTGCAGTCCTAATGTTTAAAGACAGTCTTGGAAAAGGACTAGAGAAAGCACCTGAGAATAGTCTCATTAGATCTAATTAAGTTAATTTACTTAGCCTAGTTTTCTCCTTTTGGGATCCATGAAAAAAATATATGGCATGCGGGTGAGTAGATGATGACGAAACTACTAACATTTTTTGTACCTGTTTATTTCTATTGTTGTTTCATTTTATTGTATTTATTTATTTATTTATTTATTGCTTCTTGCTTTTAATTCAAGAAGCAAACATCTTCTTCAAACACCTGATTTTATTCAGTGATTGATCGCTGTATCACTTCAGCTGTCAAAACTGCAGCAGTAAGGCTCCAGTAGCACTTCATTATTTCTAATTACTTCCAAATGTAATCCATTTACTGTGTATCCAGGGCTCTCCTTCAAGGATCTATTATGTATTTAATTTTGGTAGATTTTCTATAATCAATACAGACAACACAGACACAGGAAGCTGTCTTTAAGGGAGTTGGCTTGTGTGCTTTGGGTTTTCGTTGTGTATTTATTTGGTCTTTGCAGCTGCGGTCGACCACATTTGATCTTTCACATAAAAATGGTTGTTAAGTCGTGCCTTAAACTGTTCTAAAATACTCTGTAGCATTTACTGAAGCCAAATTAATGACCTCACGTTCCTGAGGTGACGACAATCAGCTGCACAGCCATATCCGGGTGAGGACCTTCCTCAGTCACCGTGGTATCACCATGGTAACAAGCTTAGAGGAATGAGAAAGAGAATAATCTAATCTCCCCGTTTCAGCTGCTGTGATAAAGACAGGCGCAGTGCCGTCTGGAATGGGAGGTGAAGACTAAGGAAAAGTGTCTGGCTGTGCTTAGAGTTTGTGTGCTTAACATTCAAGCTGAGTGTGAACATGTGCACTGTTTCTGTACTGCAGTCCATACTGAGTTAGAGTCCATACTGAGTTGGATGCACTGTTTATCAGTATGTGTCACTGTGGCTGGAAAAGGCTTTTAAAACATCACAACAGATATAATTCATAAGTTCATCTGATAAAAAAGCCCTATTGAAAAGCTCTTGGCCTGGGAAAACCTGGCCATAACCTAGCTTCAATGAGAGGGTGGTGTTTTATCTTGGATTATTAGGTTTATATACTATTTCTAAGGCTGAAACCTATTTTGAACCAATGATTGAAGGATGACAGATTTAATTGTTTATCTGTTAAATTAATATTAACATATGAATTACTTATATTATGGAGAGATGGAAAGAAGCAAACGTGTGCACTCCTGCAGACAGCTTGTGGGGAATGTTTCCTCTCACCTTCACTTAGCACTACATTTATTTTGAAGTTCCAAAGCAAAGAAGTTGGATAACAGCAGGTATTCATGTCTCTGTTGTTTTTATTCTTGTCAGAGTTCATACGAAATTTTTTTTTTTATCTTTTTTTTTTTACAACTTAATTTTATTTCTGATCATCTACTTAAGTTTGTAAAATTAGAGTTTACCTCATTTCTTTTTTTGGCTCATTTTTGCTTTTAATTGAAACTGGGCAGGGCAATTATAGTTCCCAGCATGCTTTGCATGGAACTTGATTTTAAGGGGAAAATGTAAAGACTTTAATGTCTAGTTACGATTTGATTTAGAACCACTTCTGGTCCATAAAGATGGGGTCCTGAATGTTTCATTACTCTATGTGCTATTATTTAACATGGTAAAATGCTATTTCTAGTTGGTTGATAGTTAGTTGGTAGTACCTAGTAATGTAATTGAGTAATGCGACACAAATGAAAATGGATCATGTCGTGGGCAGACATAAAGTCATGTTGAGACTGCTGAATTGGTCCAAAAAAAAAAATTTTATCCATTATGTTGAATGTACATGAACAAATGATGTTTTCTGACAAAGAATTATTGAACTAAACCAAGAAGGAAAAAATCAGTTAATGTAACGTAATTGATTTGTGTGGAACGATATGCATGATTAAATTATGTCAATTCAAACCTCTTTTTTCAGTATCTTTATTCTCCACAGCTGAGAGAAAAGCAGAACTAAATAGTGCTTCCTTAATGTATGAAAATTGAAAATAACATTGAAAATGTAAATGACTTCATATTCCACTTTTGTTCTTATCACAAATAAGACATAGATTTGTCCTTGTTGCCTTTGTGGTAAATCATTTCAGAGACTAAGCTGTTTCCAACCCCAACAAGAGGGAAAATGCAATCATTTTATGGCAGCATCTACTCATTCTCGATTCGTTCTGAGCTCTGACAAATACCTCCGGAGTTATTAATATAGTCAGGGTCTTTGCAGATGAAATGTAAATCTCAGGCAAGTGTGGAAG